ACGCCTTGAATTCTTCTTCTTCTTCTTCTATCTCGTCTTTTTTTTATCTCGCGGCTTCGACTCCGGCTCGAAAGTAAAGTAGTAAAGTATAGGCATCTGATACTTTGCAACGTGCCACGCGCACTTGTTTTGGCTCGCGTACGTTTTTTCCCTCGTTTTTTCATCGTTCTTGCTGAAGAGAGGGATATAGAATAGAGCTGCAAAAAGAGCCGAGGCGAGCTTTATCGCACCCGCGCTCTCGTGTGCAGCGCCGCGGCGTATACTATACACACAAGGCTAACACGTGCGCGCACATGCACAAGCACGCCTAAGAGTTTTTAGTGTCTATGCGGCTCGAAGATTCTTTCTTTTTTTTTCCATCAACATCGCGCTCGGTATAGCGTGCACAGAGAGACGCCTGGCCGCGTGTGTATAGCCGTGTGCGGTAGGGGGAGCCGGACGCGTGCGCTACGCGTTCCTCTTTTTTTGCACTCTATTTTAGAGAACACGAATTATTGCCTGCCTATCCGTTACAAGTGTGTTATTACTTTATCTATATATATAAAAGCTCGCCACCCCGTGCGCGATGCGTACCAACGATAATACAATAACAGCTGCGTTATTACCTCCCGGCGCAAAAAGCCTCGACCTTATTTTTTCTGCCTGACTTTTTGTTCTTTTCGTTTCTTTTCTCTCCTTCGCTCTCTCTCTCTCTCTCTCTCTCTCTCTCTCTCTCGCTGCTGCACCATGTGTCAAGTTTATTTTGCGAACGCACAAAGCGCAAACTAATTGTTTTTCGTTTTCTGATAATTAAAAAAAGCGTGAAAGGCCAAATAATGAGAGAAAATTGCCCCGAGTAGATGGTGCGCGCCGTTGGAACGTTCCTGGTAACGACGTTAGTTCGGAATTCTATTAAGAAAGTTGGCACGAATATAAAAGAATAGATAGCGTCTCCCCCGCGCGTGCCCTCAATTGTACGCGTGTCTCTCTGCCTTCCTTTCGCCTCACTGAGTCCGGGGCCTCTCCCGGCCCCTTCAACTCGTTCAAAACGGCATACCGATCTTGATGAATTTTACGCGCAAGGATATTAATTTCACCGAACTTGCTCTCGAGCTTCTCAAGTGTCTAGTTTGGCCTCTCTGTGTCGTCGTGTCGTCGCGTCGTATATATCACGCGGCGCGCGCGCTACACTTTGACCGGTCTCTCATTTACCTTGGACGTCGTCGTCCCGTGGTCGTGTTGAACAATTTATTCGAGCTTGTGTGCGCTCTCGAGCTTCCAAGATATAGTATACGCGTGCTGCTGCTACTGCAGCCGAGCACAGGCCAATTTGCTGAGGGCTGCAACGGAACACTCCCCCTCCCCTATATACCTTGCGACAGGGATTGAATTATCAGAAATCAATTGATCGTATGGAGAATGGGAAGTGCATAGTCGCCTGAGAAGCCGAGAGCGCCGTGTAGCGGACAGGCCATTGAATCGATATTAATTGCGCGTTAAAGTCGAGACTCTCGCGCTCGAGTGGAAATTAGCAAAAGTGGGACTTTTCTTGGGGATTCTCCGGGTCTCGAGTTGTGTTATACGCGCCGCGCATCGGTTTCAGTGATTCAATTTGAAGCCAGCAGCAGCAGCAGCTGCAGCGCCGTGCAGTTACCCGAGAGACACTGCGAGTCGAACCAACAGAGCGTCAATTTGCATGTACGCGCGTGCGACGCGATGATTACTTCGAGGAACAACTTTGATGGCCGGACGGACGTTAGCACCAACTGAGCACCCCATACTTATGTAATGAAAAACTTTTTTAAAGTTCCTCGCAATGTACTTGAAAAGACATGAAAATTACAATTCTTTGGTCTGTGCAGAAAAACCCGACGAACTAAATTGTTCTTTGGATGGAAATAATCATCAGCGTCGACAAAGTTTACGTACAATAACTGTTATAGCATGAGGTTTCACTTTAGAAAATTGCCATCAAATTGCCGCTTTAACTTTTTGTTTCAAATAAACTTGCCATGTTTTGTCGAACTATTTCTATTTCGGGAGTGGCAATGTAGTTGTGTCAACTTTGGCAAAGTCACTGATAAGAGCTCCGGGGGTGTAGAACCAGGGATTTGGTTAGCTCTCGAATCATCAAAAGCCACCGCGTACGCTTGTCTCTATGGTGAGCTGAGATTCAACTCTGACCACTGTAGATGCGTTTAAAAAGTTGAGAGTACACTAAAAAGTCGCTTAAAGCTCTTTTATTCGTTATGGAAAGTATCTGATATAACTCAAAGTTGAGCCAGAGCGAGTTTTTTCTCCGTCTTTTTTATGTGACGACGAGGACGACGCGTGTGCCGACAAATTTTAAAATTTTCATCGTCAAGACGACGTCTAATTTGCGAATTGAAGCTTTAAGAAACGTCTCACGTACAGGTATGATTAAATCAAAGAATAATGCCTCGAACATCATTGCGCGCGCGCGAGCTTTGTAGAAATGGGGGTGCGCCGCGTATAATAGCTCATTTACATTCAAATTAACTCGAACATCTTGAAAACGTCAGGCGGGAGCAGCGTCGCTGCTGGTCTCGTACTTTCGCAGTCGCGCTAATTTACTGCTAAATAGAAGTTGATAATTCGAGAGGCAAAATTAATTTTCCGGTCAATTAATTAGACGAGATAAGTCGGCCAGGAAAGACGTGGATGATTTTTTTTTATGGTGCAGAGAGCGACGCCTTTTTTGCGCAATGTATACCCTAGTTGAATAAATAACAAACGTAATTGGCTTTGCAAGAAAAAGAGACGAGTATAAAAAACTTAATCCATTTAATGATTTAAGTGGATTGTCAGCTCGGGCCTTTATTGAACCACACCCTCAATTCCGATAATGCAAATACATCTGCGAGTAGCAATATAATTGCTCTCGTGCAGTTTCCGCTTCTCCATCGCAGCGTTTGAATTACAATACTCGCTCGTACACTCGCGCAGTCTGTGGTTTTGTTCTTCCTCCGGCAACAGCGGCAGAAACAGAGGCAGCGAGAGCAGTGCAGTTGCGAGTTGAGTCGAGTATAGCTCGAGAACTCGGGGAAGAGGGAACTGAGCGGTGTAAAAAAAAAAGGAAAAAAGGAAAAAAACGGTAAAACAAAACGACGAGGGTAAAAGTTGGTAAAAGAAGACTCATCTTCGTCGCTTGGTCGAGTACTATAGCTAGTATCGTGCCAGATTCAATAAAGAAATAGTCCCGGAGTTTATTCTTTTAAATTCAGGGAACACTACGCTCTCCTCTCCATTAGGGTTGTAGCTCGCGTGCACACGGGCGTCACGAGTGTATATGGTAAAAGGACAAAAAGTTTTGTCTTCCTGCGCGGCAAAAAGAAGAAGAAAGAGGATGAGAGAGAGGGAGATCAGCTACCGAGAGAAAGGTACAGACAAGAGGAGGAGAGGAAGAGAGAGGGGTAATATAAGGCGAAACTCGAACGAAGAAGTCCCATAACCACAGATTAGCTGACATTATCCCGTCTAGCGTTGGCGCAGCAGCAGCCAAGGTATATCTAGAGCTGCGAGCTTGTAAGTTTGCTCCGCGGCGGCCCCCTTTTGTTATGCGTCGGGGTGCGTGCGTGTGTGTGTATGTGTCTCGGTTACGATAATATATACGTTTCAATTACCGATAGCTCGGCGTTGCTACGCTGCTGCAGCCGCGTTTAAATTTAAAAGTGGAGCACATTACTACAGCGCATAGCTGGAACGTATGCGAGCGGCGCAAGTCGAGGCGTGCGTACCCTATGTAGGAGAGGAGAATCGTCGTCGTGTTGTTTTCGCATCGCGCGTAGATCCGCTCCATGAATGCGAATACTCTGCGAGTACTAAACTTGCAAGCAGCAGCGGCTATAAACTTTTCGTCGTATATATCGCGGAGGAAACCGTGGGCGGCATTCCCGCGCACTTGTATACGTACAATATGAATTATATATACGGCCAAGAAGGAGCGCGTCTAAACGTTTCTTCGATTAACGAGGCGAGTGGTATATGAGCCGAACGACGGGAGAAAAACTGCCTTGGCACGAAATGAACACACACACTGACGCACGACGAGAAAAAGATCGTCGCGCAGCGATTATCGTCGCGATCAGCGGAAGAAGAAGAAAAAGAAGGAGGAAGAAAAAGCCGCAGACCGATCACGCGCGCACCAAAGCACAAAAAAGTCCTATATATCTCATGTGTGTGTGTCTTAGGAATCGTTAGCGGCGAGCAATTCCGATGCTGTAGCCGGCCACGTTAAATCAGCCGAAGAATATATGAGAAATCCGTTGTTGGAGTCGGTGGTGGCTCGTGCAGAGTATACCGACTGACAAACGCACACATAGCAACAAACGCGAATTCTTGCTCTATATGTGTGTGTGTGTGTGTGTGTGTGTGTGTGTGTGTTGGTATAAGCGCGTGCCAGCTTGCAATGTATACCCGCTGTACAAGGGAGTGGCCAGCTGCACCGCGTTCTACGCGCGCGACTATGTCTCTTCCTCCTGCACCCCCTTCGTTCCTCCTCGTCCTCCTCCTCCTCCTCCACCTCCTCCTCGAGCTTTCCTATACATATATGCGTGCTATATACTTCCCCTCTCCTTGTCTCTCTCGTCTCGTGCATTCGCGTCTATACACGCAAAGGACCTCCGCATATACTTATGCACGTACATGTTTCAGATATGCATGTAGCTTTATTCCATAGAGTGTATGTGTAGCGTATATCGCAGGCTACGTACGCGGTATTACGTGCGAGCAATAATAAGCGCGCGCGCGGCAAAAGTGGGCACCAGTTCCCTGAAAGCTCGGCCCATATATAGTCGAGCGAATCCGCAGAAATCGAATTTCGCGCCGACTCTCTTTCTCAGCTACTCGCCTTTGTAATCCAATTAAGTTTTCCAATGCGCGCAGCGAACGTACGAATTGCTTTGTCGAAGCGACGATTTCTTTCCGATATGCGCGTCTACGTTACAGCGCCAGCGGCTGTGCGGCAATTTACTCGTTGAGCAAAAAAGTCGAATAGTTACCTCATTTAAAAAAAAAAAAAAGCGAGCCGAGCTTGCGTAGGGGTTGCTGATTGTGCTCGAGATCGTTGCTCCTGCCAGCAATATCTGTATGTGTGTCAGTAGCAGCAGAAGCAGTAGAAGCAGAAGCAGCAGCAGCAGCACACCAGCTGTGCGCGGATGTATATTGCGAGCTTGCGAAGGAACAAGTGCTGCTCGGTGACGTCAATAGATCGTTAAACGTTCCCAGCTCAATCACCGGTCGCACTTGAAAACTCGTATTCACTCGTGGATTTTTCTCTTCTTTCACTCGAGGCTCCCCTCGGTACAGCGAAATATTTATTTATCAGCGGCACTTTTGAATAAAAAAAATACTGTCTCGCTGCTCGAGCGCGCGACTCGGAGCAACTTGCGCTCGTTGTAGCTCTATGGCAAATTACAATATTTCATTTATGCCTCGCAAATACGAGAAAGACGCCGATATCTCTCGTACATCGTAGATAAGCGCACACTGCATGCAGGAAGCTGCGAGCGAACCTCGAAGCGCGCACGAGTCACTCGTATATAATAATACGCACGAAGACGAAGACGACAAGACTGTGTGTGTATGCGCACTGTCCGGGAGTAGCGGTGAATGACGACGAAGCTCGCGCGAAAGCTCGCAGCCGACTGATTCCTCGGTGTTAGCTTTCGCTTAATAAAGGGTGGTGGCGCGCTCTCTGCCACCCGCTACTCTCCTCCTATATACACGCGCGCATACTCACACGCACACACGAGTATAATAATGTATAAGAGCTGCTACGCGCGCGGCTAGAAGGAAAACTAGCGCTCTCGTGTGTATGTATACACAGGAATGTTCGTGTATGCGCCAGAGAGCGGCGTGTATATATTCTACTACGTGCATGTATGGCCCGGTGGCGGAGGAGGCTCCGACTGGATGGGAGCGAGCTTGTACCACTGGCACACAGGATCCTGTCAGTGCGCACACTTCGTGCCTATATACTTGTCTTTCTAACAGAGAGCTGTACCACTGCACCGCCGCCGCCGCCGCCGCTGACGCTGCTACATGTGCTGTGTACACAAGAATGGAAAGAGATCCTGTTTCTATGCTGCTGATGCCACTGCTGCTTCTTCGTCGGTATTACAGGTCTTTAGTATGTACTTTTGACTTGTCGTCCTTTTAACCATCTACTTTTGTCTCCGAGCTGCTCTCTCTTTGTGCTTAGCCAGCGCGCTGCCTTTTTTGGCGTTCTTAAGAAACCAGCAGTCGCGGCGCTCTTTATTCCCGCCGGTTATAAAATAACGAGCTTTCGATGCATCGACTGACCTATAATCTCTCCTCGACGCGACTTTATGATGTATTATACATGCGAAGCTCGTTGCAGCGTACGGAAAATTTTACCGGTCGTCCACGCGTAATACACGATATAGCTCTTGCAAGCTTGAAAGCTGTGAGCTTAAAATTTACGCGCTCGTGCGCACGCTTATATATATGGGTAAGGCTCAGAATTTTTTAAATAAACCTGCGCTCGTATGTCACCGATCTTGACGCGCTTTTGGTATGTTATATTACATGGTAAAAAAGACCCAAAACCAAAATTTTAGACCCCCTCCCCCCTCCTACCCCCCACTTCCGGTATAAACGTCCATTTTCTATCTATATTTTTTCTGAAGGCCTGAAGCAATTAAAAAATCTGAAAAAATTCACAAAAATACTTTTCAACAATCCAAACAACCTTGAATTTTTTCAGATTTTTTGAGTGCTTCAGGCCTTCAG